CGCAAGCAATCAGCAACTTTCAATAGCACGATAAGGAGATGCCTTTTTCATAACTTAATGTAGTGTTAAGTTTATTTATTTATTCTTCTTTCCCTGATAATACAAAGACATTCTTGTCAGTGATTCCTTCGTAAAGTTATTAAAGTTTCTAACGTTCAAAGAGATGTTAAATGACACAATGGTGTATTAAAAATAAAAAAAATAATAATACTAATATAATAAACAATCTGTCAAATATATTCAAATGAAAAATAAAAATTTTGACTATAATTCAAAATAAATGAAAAACAATATTAGGAATGATTATGAAAATAATATGCGCTTCAAACATGATATAGAAATATATTGTCATTTAATTAATTAATGCTCGAAGCAAATATTTGAATGTAATTCTACTGTCCTATAAGCTTATGTCCATAGTTTACTTGAAAACCATTTCTAAGATTCCATCCTTCAGTGTAGCATATAAAAGCAGAATGATCAAATACAGTATTAGAGCTCTGAGAAGCGGTCTGGTGGATTAAATTGGCGAAACCGCTGGGAGGGTTCACCACTGATGAACCAAGCCCTCCCAATATATTTTTTCATCGCAGTAAGGACAGTAGAAGTTCGTTTTATATATAAAAGAAACATTCGCGCTTTTAAATTCTTTTATTTTATATGTATAGATGGCGCGTTATTGCTTTGTGTTAATTTAATTAATTATATTTTGTAAGTATGATGTTTATTTTATTTTTAATGTCTAGACTTTTTGTTAAGGAAAAGAGGAAATAATAAAAAAAATTCAAAAGAAAACAAAATAAATGTTAAAATATTTGAAAGTTAATAAATTTTTATTAAGATTATGTGTGTGGAAAATATTTATATGAACAAATTTCTGCAGTTTAAAATACATATAAACAATGCATTTTGTCCATAATCTCAGTATGAAATTTGTATTGAAAAAAATGCTCAATAGCCCCCGATTCTTGCAAAAGTCCAACCCCACCAGCGAGTGCAAGTAACCAAACGGGGCTCTGGCACATTTCTAAGTACAAAGTCGAACTGCTTTTCACATGTGTAGACATGTGGTGCACTTACAGTAAAATCAGTCGCCTACTTCTACCCACCATGATTACCATGGCCTGTACCACGTGTACAAGGGATAAGCAAAAAAAAAAAAAAAGTAAAAATAAGGTCAAATTACGAAATAAAGAAAACTGAAGAGGTTTAAAAATACGTTTAAAATATTTTTTTTTAATACCAAACTCTATTTTTTTAAAATTTAATAAAATAATAAAATGAATACGGTGTGTGAAATTAATTTGGAAAATTTATATTTTGAAATTTATCTTTTTCGTTGATTAAAATTTGTTAAGGCAAACTTCGTTTGAAAAGTTATTTTAGTTTTCGTTTCCTATTTAAAGAGTTTTTTGGTCAATAATTTTTACAGATATTTTTTATCTATAACTATATATGTAATATTATTTTCTATTAAAAATAGAGTCTTCTTTTCTAAAAATATTTATGCGTACTTTGAAAAACCTAGTTTCATATTATTTGTCAGAGGTATAATGTTATTATTACGTCAGGCTACCAAAACAATGTCAAAAGATTACGAGTTTGTTTTATCTCTGAATGACACAACATCGTCTGTTTTTTTTTTTTTATCTTTCTAACATCATCAACCCAACTAGAGCTTGTTTATTTCAGTTTATCACGTGATATGAGAGATGGAAATATGTAACAGTGTAAAAATATTTACCAGTGTCGCTTTAAATATGTAAACAGACGAATAATTTATTTGGCATTGAATAATTTTGAGAATGTTTAAATATACGAGATATATTTAAAAAACTGTAGAACGACATTTGAAAATTATCCCGCATGTGTTTCTTTTGAACAAAAAAAATCGAAATTTATTTTAAGGAGAAATAACGATTATTTCTAACCTTAGGAATGAAATATGAAAAAATGAATTGTGTAGAGTAATAATAAACGGAAAAAAAAAAGTGTCCAGGGATGGGAATCGAACCCACAGTGTTCCGCTTACCGGGCAGATGCCATGTCCACTAGGCTACCCTGGGAACATATTTTTCGTTCAAAAGAAACACATGCGGGATAATTTTCAAATGTCGATCTACAATCATAAGCCGCATTATATTGAATTATATTTAAAAACTATTATTTATTTTAAAGTTTTTTTCTAAAAATCTCTACATCTTAAATCAATATATGAACATATCTCTAAATTAATTAAATTGTTTATTTTAAAATTAAAATATGGAAAAAAACGTTAATAAATTTTATAAAGAAAGTGCGTGGGTTTTAGTAAATTAGGTTAAGCATAGAAAAATCCTATGGTTTGGCAAACGTTAATTGTTCTTTGGTATAAAAAACCACAAGTTCACTGATTTGATTAAATAAATTTCCCTTTATTTTGATTGTAAGGTTCGCCTGGCTTTCTTTTGTTCAGATTTTTTTTGTTTCTTTTTGATTTTCTAAGATAAATAAATCTGTGTGCTTTCATTTCTCCACACGACTAATTTAAATATTTAATTAATTATAACCTTTTTTACATATTTATATTTTATTATATTTATTTATTTATTACCAGTTATTTATTACAAGTTGCAAATAAGACAAGCTATATCCGATCTGGATAATTGCGCGTGAAACTATTTATTATAATTTTTAATTTAACTATAGAATATCCTATTTAGGCATATATTAAAGAAATTTAAGTAATTTATTTTTGAAAAGAAAAATATGTAATTTTAAATTAAAAATAAAACGAAAAGGTTTTTAACTATATATATTGATTAAATTAACCCAGATTCACATTGATGAGATGTCATCAACTACCGGGTTATTATTTTTTTTTTTTGCCTAATAAAAAATATATCAAGACATCTGTTTACATATTGTATGTGTCCAAATCCTTGATAACTTGTCTAACTACACACATTTAAAATTGTATTAATTAATTTTTAGGTGTTTTTTTCACCCACACATATAAATATCACAGCTTGCACCACGCTGATGAGGGCCAACAGCCCGAAACGCGTCCGTGGTTAGCTTTTCTTGATTAATCAAGAATGGGTATTTGGTCAATTCTGGAATAATTAAAAATCAACGAGAATAGTTGATATTTATTCCGATAGATGGCGCAAGCCATCAGCAACTTTCAATTGCACGATAAGGCGATGCCTTTTTCATAATATAAATATCAATTTATTATTTTTTTTTATCAAAATATAATTTATAAATATTTTTAGAATATCGTGTGTGTGTATCCAAAATCTCTATAAATTATGGAAACAAATTTAGAATAAAAATTATTGGGAACTTCATTTTTGTTTGTTTTTCAAAAAATAAATTATAGAAAAATGACATTAAAAAGAAAATTATCTTTTATTGTCAACAAACATAAAAGGATTCAAAACAAAATAATAAAAAATACGACGATAAATAAGTACCGAGTTATTATTTTTCAGGTTTATTGCTGCTATTTTATCCCACAACCTTCGACCTTTAAAAAAAATATAATTACCCCTTTTATCAAACATAGTGCGCCCTATTAATTTTAAATTATAGTAATTTAAATTATAAATTAAAGCGACATCATTTATCTTATTAAATAAATGCTAATACGTTTTCAATATTATTTTAGTACTCTCTCTCTCTCTATAAATAAATGTGTTTTTATATAATTAAAACTATCATTAGAAAAATTAAAATACATACGAAGCAAAAAAAAAAAATAGCAAACGAATTTTTTTTTTAAATGTTAGAACCATTTTAAATATAGTCAATCGTTAATGATATTTTTTGAAATAATAGAAAAAAAAGGTACAAATAAATGAAAATAACTAAACAAAAATATCCGGTTAAACAATACAAAATTTAATTATTAAATTCATTCCCGTTTTCCTACTCAGTGAATCGATTTTAGTTAATCAAGCATATATTCTGGCAAAAAATAGATCAGATAATCAGGGCCAAAAGGACATTCGTTTAAATTTTGTTTTCTTTCATTAGTAATGAGATCATTGATTAAACGAATTGTTTTAATTAATAAAGGTGACGCTATAGTTTCCTTGATCAGTGGATTTTTTACCAAACATTTTTTCTCTGACTTTTTAAAATACCTCTGAGAAATATATATTTTTCTATTTATACTTTCTTTAATTTTATTTTTATTATGTTGTACATCAATTTTAAAAGTAGGTAATTTTTAATCTTTGCCTATTTATTTTTGTCCATTGTACCTTCAAATTAAAAATTTTCTTAAAGGGATAATATACCTTAACGAACAATGAAATTTGAGAACCAAGTAGAATTTAGAATTATTTTTGAAATGTAGAAAATTGATGCATATTATATGTATTTATTCATATGATCAAATAATTAAAATTCCACACAACAATAACATGTTGATCTTTTTAATGCACACCTGTCATGATATCTGAGATTCATGAAACAACGTGGTTAAACAACGAATCAAAGAAACGTCTGATATTGCTCCGTGGAAGAAAGACTTACATTTCTTGGATGGAAGCTTTCCAATCCGGAATATTGAGGCATAACGGCAATTGGTGTTTCGAATGGTCTTAAACATGCTCAATAGGAGACAGGTCCAGGGACGTGAAGGCCATTCCAAGAGCTTCCTTTCTATGGCTAGTCTGTTGATGGTATCGTAAGGTCTATCTATATCTCTTCAATCAGCCATAGGTTGGTGGCTGGCAGTATTCCTGTCCTCTCAGAGCTTCCTTTCTATGGCTAGTCTGTTGATGGTATCGTAGGGTCTATCTATATCTCCTCAACCAGCCATAGGTTGGTGGCTGGCAGTATTCCTGTCCTCTCAGAGCTTCCTTTCTATGGCTAGTCTGTTGATGGTATCGTAGAGTCTATCTATATCTCCCCTCAACCAGCCATAGGTTGGTGGCTGGCAGTATTCCTGTCCTCTCAGAGCTTCCTTTCTATGGATAGTCTGTTGATGGTATCGTAGAGTCTATCTCTATCTCCTCAACCAGCCATAGGTTGGTGGCTGGCAGTATTCCGGTCCTCTCAGAGCTTCCTTTCTATGGCTAGTCTGTTGATGGTATCGTAGGGTCTATCTATATCTCCTCAACCAGCCATAGGTTGGTAGCTGGCAGTATTCCTGTCCTCTCAGAGCTTTCTTTCTATGGCTAGTCTGTTGATGGTATCGTAGGGTCTATCTATATCTCCTCAACCAGCCATAGGTTGGTGGCTGGCAGTATTCCTGTCCTCTCAGAGTTTTCTTTCTGCAGCGAGTCTGTTGATGGTAGCGTAGGGTCTTCTCCCGTCCATGAACTCCATTCTCGGCCTCTACTCCATCCTGGCATTCCTTCACTATATCTTTCCAGTTATACTTTCACCCATTTCAGACAGGATTTCTATATCCTTTCTCGATTATTTTCAGAACATCTTTATTACTGTCACTTCATTGTATTCTTATCATTCGGTGCTAAGGCCACATCTCGAAAGCCTGGAACTTTACCATTCCTGTCTTTCTAAGAGCCCAGGTCTCTGAGTCAAACGTATACACACTTCAATTGAAGCTTTAGATAAAGTGAATTTTAATTGTTAAATTCCATTTTTCTCAATCTATTCTTACTTTTGCTTCTACTTGACCATCATTCTCAAGGTAAGGTTTTTGTCCTCAGGCAAAACGCATCCTTATCCCTGCATTTCCTAGTGCATTTCATCATTTTGGTTTTTCTTCGCATACAAATGCTAGTAAAATCTGTTTTTCGTTTTAAATACAAGTATTAATCATCCCCTAAAGTAAATGTAATATCATCCGCAAATCTAATTGATTGACTATAAATTCTTCCATTTATTTAAACCCCAATCTGGTTTACTAATTCTTTTATGACTTCTTCAATATAGATGTTGAAAAGTAGTGGTGATAATCAATATTTCTTTATACTTTTTATTTATATTTGTTTATTTCACCTTCATCAAGGCTGTCTGAGTTTTTTGAGTTAATATATCATTATTGCTTAACGATAAACTCTTCTATAGTTCCATGTACAACTGTAGCGTAAATTCTAATTCTTAAAACAAATCTGAAATTTAAAATAATTATTCTATTTCATCTATTTACTATGATAGCTCCTTATATTTCTTGAGGACTGTATTTTGTTCCCTTATAAGGCTCCACTCTGCTGCTGCCTACCTCGTGTATTCCTCATCAAACCAACACACCAAAACTATGAGACACAGACATTTATTTAAACAACAAAACTATTTATACACCTTGGCCCGTGGTCAAAAGAATTAAAACAGAATAACTTATTTTACAAACAAAATTATGCAAAATAGGCAGTATTAACAATTGATATAGCCACAGAATAAAAATATTAATAACAAATAAATATTTACAGATATATACATCTAATTCTCAACAACTACATTTATACAAAGATCTGAAGAATGGTTTGTCCGAAAGTTTCTGATATTAATAAATAAATAGTTGCCGTTATTTATTTTTTATTTTAATACCTTTGTTAAAAAAAAGTTGTTTTATATTTGAATTATGAAAATCCGAAACTATTTTAGACACGTAAGATTCTTTTTGAAATTAAAAAAAATCATAACAGATGACGCGCTAGTGCATCATAATATTTGGATTATTATTCAGTTTTTATAATAAAGAAAAAACTCTACACTCTGGAATATGATCGCACACAAGCACAGAAGATATATTAGACCAAAAGATACCAAGAAAATGTTATAAATAATTGACCAATGACCACGTACAGGGCGTGACCCTGATTGTATCTGATGGCTCCCCGTGGATTTCCCTCACCAGACGATCTTTTGTTAGAATCTTTTGGCCTTTCTTATGCAGAGGATTTTTCTACCAAGGACGACCTAATAAAGAATTAGATATTGTGGCAATACTAGAGTTTTATTTTTCTTGTAAAATTCTTGTGATAAAAAATGGGAAACATTTTTTTTTCTTCATATATATATTTTTTAGTATATTCAAATCTACGTCCCAATATTTACTATCACACATGCTCACCACTACACCACTACACTCTCCATTTAAATGG